TGCAACAGTGCTGGGGGCTGGTAACGTCCATTATGGGGATCAAACTCTTATACCCAATGTGACAGTGCTGGGGTTTGGTGATTGGTGAGCTCCAATATGGGGGATCAATCTCCATTTTTTTTTTTTTTTTTTTAAGTCCGCAAACGTGCAACTATAACGAAAAAACCCGTAAGTGTTCACAAAAAATGTGCAAGTGCAAAAAACACCACACGAAAAAGTGCACTTAGGGGTGTGCTGTGTCCTACCCCTAAAGGGGCTTGGACCGCTTACCCTGATCCCCCGGGGCACGAAGCTCCTGACGGGGACAAGGTTCCCATTTGGTCCTCCTGGCCAAAAGGCCTGGTGGACCACCGTTCCTTGTGTCCAGCCGAAGCCAGACACCCAGTACTTGGTCAGGGGGCTCTCCCGAAGAAGGGCCCCCTAAGGATCAGGGGAGGAAGGAACCAAAAGGCCACACATCCTCCCCCTAGACTTCAGGGTAGGCCCGAGGACCCACATCCTCCTGGGGATCAATCCCCATACCCAATGTGACAGTGCTGGGGGCTGGTGATTGGTGGGCTCCATTATAGGGGACCAATTCTCTATACCAAACAAGACAGTGCTGGGGGCTGGTGACTGGTGGGCTCCATTATGGGGGATCAAGAGTCATACTCAATGTGTTCGTGCTGCGGGTTTGTGATTGGTGCACTCCATTATGGGGGGATCAACCCCCCCCTCCCATACCTAATGTGATAGTGCTGGGGTTGGCAGGGTGAGGTCCATTATGAGGAATCAGGTACCATGCAAATTGTTCGCTGTGGTCAAGCTGTGGCTAGGGTGGAATGACAGGGAAATGGTGGTAAAGGCAATTATAAGCTCTAGAGGGCGCCTAGACCAGGTTGGGGACTGGATTGGTTTTGGTCTAGGGCACCTAGACCAGGTTGGGGACTGGATTGGTTTGGGTCCCTGTTCCCGAGAGGCTTGGCTTAGTCGTGGACACCTCCAGGTCTCATGATATGTTGCAGTAACAATGTGTTCTTCCAAAGCTTTCCATAATGTATCTACACATCCAGTGTCTCCTCTATCTCTGGCTAACCAGACTCCAGAGATCCTGCGAGGTCTGCACTGAGGTGATACATTGATTATTTAGTGATGAGCAGAAGGCAGAACAAGGTGTCAAAAGCGGGATTACAGTTTTGCTCCCTGACCATGAAAAGGGAACCCTTGTATGAAGTGCTAGCTCCTTGACCCAGTGCCAAAATGACAGAGTACCGAGGTAAGCAGCGTGGTTCTTCATCTTGACCGGGAACTCCTTCTCAAAGGCGGCACGAGGAGGCATGACCCGGCTGTCCTTGTACTCCTTCAGCACGGCCCCGTCCCAGTTGTACGCTCCAACCATTCCGAACAGAATTCCATCCTGTGGGGACCAAAAGTGTGGACAAATCTGTAGATTATTCTTGGTTAGTGGGGCTGAGAAGAGACACGAGGACATCAAAGTCTCTGTGAGCTCCGCTGGTGGAAGGACGTATCTCAAGTCAAAACATTTTTCTAATTTTGGAAGGAATTGAATTTTAAAGTCACCATAAGAGGAATAGATTAGAAATCTTTGAATGGGGACACCATGCTTACCATCATTATCGTCACATACTCTGGGACACTGTTAACCCCACCAATGGTCTGCATATTGTCCAACTACCTTCTGGGTTGGTGCACCCAAATCATGCCCATTTTATGTCTGGTTCCACCTAGACCCCACCTCTAAATATCTGGGTGCCACCCATCACATTCACTTTAAGGGTTGGTACCACCTAGACCCCACCTCTAAATGTTTGGGGACCACCCATAACATTCAATTTATGGTTATTCCCTTCCAGACCCCACCTCAAAATATTTGGGCACCACTTGTCACATCCATTTTGTGGATTGGTCCCACCTCTCCTCCAAACATCTGGGCTTCACCCATCGCATCCAATGTATGGGTTGGTCCCACCTCTCCTCCAAATATCTGGGCTTCACCCATCGCATCCAATGTATGGGTTGGTCCCACCTCTCCTCCAAATATCTGGGCTTCACCCATCGCATCCAATGTATGGGTTGGTCCCATCTCTTCTTCAAATATCCGGGAACCACTCATCACATCCAATTCATGGGCTGGTCAAACCCAGACCTCTTCTCTAAATATCTAGCACCACCCATCCTATTCGATTTAGGGGTTGGCCCAATCCAGACCTCTCCTCTAAATATTAGGAACCCAACCATCACATCCAATTTATGCGTTATTCCCTTCCAGACCCCATCTCTAAATATCTGGGCACTATTCATCACAACCAGTTTTATGGGTTGGTCCCACCTCCACTCTAAATATCTGGGCACCACCCATCATATCCAATTTATGAGCTGGTCCCACCCAGACCTCTCCTCTAAATATCTAGGCACCACCATCACATCCAATTTATGGATTGGTCTCACCTCTCCTCTAAATATCTAGGCACCACCATCACTCCAATTTATGGGATGGTCACACCCAGACCTCTTCTCTAAATATCTAGCACCACCCATCCTATTCGATGTATGGGTTGGCCCAATCCAAAATTCTCCTCTAAATATCTGGACACCACCCATCACATCCACTTTATGGGTTGGTCCCACCAAGACCCCACCTCTAAATATGATGGGACCACCCACTTATGACCCAGATCTGCAATTAATGCCTTTTCAGTGACATGTGCAGTACCTCAAACAAGGTTGACATTGTGATTCCAAGATGCAGGCCTGTCCCGGAAAATCCGGGACACTTGAGGTCTATAAGATACTTGTTCCAGGGGCCATTGTCTAAGAGTGGATTTTCCCTCACTTTGGAAAGATTTCCTCCCATTTCCTGTTGCGTCTCTGGGACAGGAAGTGAAGACAAATCTTTCCCAATGTACACACAGACCCAAAAAAAGCCAGGAAATTTAACCATTCACGATATTTTTTTAAAGCCCAAATCCATCCAAAACGTTTTTTTTTCATTTTGCATAGATTTGGGAATTCTTGCAGATGTTTGTTAGTGGTCACCGGCGGGTTCTCTGATCTCCTCACCTCCAGGACGTGAATCGAGAAGCCGACTTGGGACATCTCCAGTTCAAAGGAGCTTTGGTTCATATTGTGAGTCCCTGGGGAGGAAAACCGATGAGGATGAATCGTCGATAAAAGTCTACGGATTATAGTGGAAGGTTGGTCTATTGTCATTCATGTCCAGCTAATAGCATGTGATGGAGTGGGTGTTGTGAAGTCATGGCTCTGCACCCCCTGTGCACCACCCAGCTCTGCACCCCCTTGTGCACCCCCCAGCTCTGCACCCCCCCCCCCATGCACCACCCAGCTCTGCACCCCCCCCCTCTGTACACCACTCAGCTCTGCACCCCCTACACACCAACCAGCTCTGCACCCCCTGTGCACCAGCCAGCTCTGCACCCTGTGTGCACCACCAGCTCTGCACCCCCCCCCCCCCTGCACCACCCAGCTCTGCACCCCCTACACACCAACCAGCTCTGCACCCCTGTGCACCACCCAGCTCTGCACCCCCCCCCCCCGTGCACCACCCAGCTCTGCACCTCCTCGTACACCACTCAGCTCTGCACCCCCCCCCCGTGCACCACTCAGCTCTGCACCCCCTATGCACCACCCAGCTCTGCACCCCCTGTGCACCACCCAGCTCTGCACCCCCCCCTCCCGTGCACCACCCAGCTCTGCACCTCCTCGTACACCACTCAGCTCTGCACCCCCCCCCCCGTGCACCACTCAGCTCTGCACCCCCTATGCACCACCCAGCTCTGCACCCCCTGTGCACCACCCAGCTCTGCACCCCCCCCTCCCGTGCACCACCCAGCTCTGCACCTCCTCGTACACCACTCTGCTCTGCACCCCCCCCCCATGCACCACCCAGCTCTGCCCCCCCCCTGCACCACCCAGCTCAGCACCCCCTGTGCACCACCCAGCTCTGCACCCCCCCCCCCCGTGCACCACCCAGCTCTGCACCTCTCCTCGTACACCACTCAGCTCTGCAACCCCCCGTGCACACACTCAGCTCTGCACCCCCCCGTGCACCACCCAGCTCTGCACACCACTCACCCAGCTCTGCACCTCCTCGTACACCACTCAGCTCTGCACCCCCCCCCCTGTGCACCACCCAGCTCTGCACCCCCTGTGCACCACCCAGCTCAGCACCCCCTGTGCACCACCCAGCTCTGCCCCCCCCCCCTGTGCACCACCCAGCTCTGCACCTCCTCGTACACCACTCAGCTCTGCCCCCCCCCCCCCCCCCCGTGCACCACCCAGCTCTGCACCCCCTGTGCACCACCCAGCTCTGCACTGCACCCCCTGTGCACCGCTCAGCTCTGCACCCCCCCCCGTAAACCACTCAGCCCTGCACCCCCCGTGCACCACATTTAGCTCTGCACCCCCTATCCATCACTCAGCTCCATCCCCTGTGCATTGCCCAACTCTGCCCCCACCTTACACTACTCAGCTCAATTCTACTTGCACTACTTAGCTCTGCCTCCACCTTGCATCACTCAACACTGCACCCCATTTGCACCCCTCAGCTCTGCACCCCCAGATCTGCTCCCCACTTGTACCACTCAGCTCTGCAACAAACCTGCACTACTCACCAGCATCCCTCTGGCACTACTCACTCCTTGCTATAGGACGCTCTTGAACCTTTCCCCTCTGCATGTTTTCATACTAAAATAGATTTGATGAGGACCGGGGCAGACTGCCTGTACCCTCTACCCCCCCACCTCACCCCCCCCCATCCCCCCCCCCCATTGCCCCAGTAGGTATTGTGATGTCACAAGCAGCACTGTGACGTCACATTTATGACTGTCATGTTTGGATGTGTTTTCACCTTCTAAGCTGAAGATCCGATCCCCTAAAGCATCCACGATGTCGTTCAGCGCCGCCTCGTCCGTCACGTTGAAAAAATATTTCTCATCTGGGTCACTGGCGATGTATTTAATTTCATTGATGAAGGAATTGGGGTCTTGCTGCCTCCTCATGTAATTTCCGAGGACCTGGTGGAAAATAATAATATGCTGAACGTCCGCTTCAGAGATGTCATGTGCACACAAATCCCACAGAGGGCAGCGGCGAGCAAGATCAGCTAGCATGCAGCCTGTTCATTCCGAGTCCGGGGAACTATGTAATAAGCATTCACGTACCGCAATTGCGTAGCGGGTGATGTCACGCTTTTCACATTCTGCCAAGGCGAGGGGTAGCTCTTCCCCGTCATGTGATTCTCCGTCGGTCACAACGATGAGGAGCCTGGTCGCACCTTCTCTTCCACCCCTCTCAGGGCTGAACGCTTCTGAGCTACAATAGGCAGATCGGGGGGGTCACTGAAAATCCCATCATTAACCTCAAGAATCTCCAAAAATCCTTGCATAGGTGCTGAGCTATACAAACACACATTTTTTTCTGATTCTTTCCCCATACTGTTTTTGGCTGCATTTTAATATTTAACCAGAGGAAGGATTTCTGAACTAATACTATATGCCTGGATACAATCATCCTTTAGAGCCAGACAGGGCTGAACTATAAATGGGTAAATTTTGCCATTTTTTTCCTCAAATTACAAAAATTAAATAGAATTCTAGTAGAAAATTTTCTTTGTAAGTTTTGGATGGTGTGGGGGGAGGGCTAGAACATTGTTAGGTCCTTATTGCTGTCTGAGATTTTACTCACTTCCTGTTGCAACTGACATCAATTTCCAGGACAGGAAGTTAGGAGAATCCTCCATGATGGAAACATGCAAAACCCCTACCTAGTAGTTACAGCAATATAGTAATTGCAATTGGCATGTGTCTGATTCAGGGAACGGCAATGGGGGTAATGGTCTGTTCAAATCTTGCACAGGGACCACTTACATGCCCATTACAGCCCCTAAAATATACTATCCCTGTGCTTCCCGGCAACTGATGTTCTTAACAACATCTATCACCACTGGAGTAGTCATATATTCTTTTAGACACCACTCGTACACAGCTACACTTCCATACTGCAAGAACCCTAGCGTGTAGATACAATAATGTGGTAAAAAAAAAAAAGTTAGCATACAGTATGATTCAGGGAAGAGCAATGGGGGATAACAGTCATCCTTCTTGGTGATTGCTGTTCTTAGAACCATCCATCACCTCCCCAGAAGTTCTACAATCTTTTAGAGACCAGTCTTGCATGGCTGCACCCCCATACTGCAAGACCCAACCTTTGTAGTAAAAAACTATTAAAAAACTATTAGAATAGTTTTTCACATTTTAGAATGGGGTGCCTCAAGACTGTCCATAAGTTTATAGGGTGCCTTGGGACTGCCCATAATTTAAAAGGGTGACTTGACTGAAAAAAAAGGTTGATAAACACTTATTTAGGAGACAGCAATGGGGGTAACGATCAATTCAGATCTTGCATAAGACCCACTTACATGCCCATTACAGCCCCTAAAATATACAAGTCCTGTTACCAGACATACCAGGCTTTGTGGATGGCAAACGCTGTCCTGGTCTCCCGTCCTTCCTGGCGACTGATGTTCTTGGCAGCATCTATCACCTCCCGAGAAGTCGTATAGTCTTTCAGGGACCATTCATGCACAGCTATCTCCCCATACTGCAAGACCCCTACCTGTCCAAAGGGAGTTTAAAGTTAGTTATTAGAAATCTGAAAAATATTTCTCTTTCTCTTGTTTCCAATGAGACAGTCTAACCATACAGGTGAGAAGGAACTCAAGAATCAGTAAGACCTCCAACCACATCAATGTGAGAAGGAACTCAAGAATCAATAAGTCCCCCAACCACATGAATGTGAGAAGGAGCTCAAGAATCAATAATTCCCCCAACCACATGAATGTGAGAAGGAGCTCAAGAATCAATAATTCCCCCAACCACATGAATGTGAGAAGCAACTCCAGAATCAATGAGACCCCCAACCACATCAATGTGAGAAGGAACTCAACAATCAATAAGTCCCCCAACCACACCAATGTGAGAAGGAACTCAATAATCAATAAGTCCCCCAACCACACCAATGTGAGAAGGAATTCAAGAATCAATCAATAAGTCCACCAACCACATCAATGTGAGAAGGAACTCAAGAATCAATGAGAGTCCCCCAACCACATCAATGTGAGAAGGAACTCCAGAATCAATAAGTCTCCCAACCACATGAATGTGAGAAGGAACTCAACAATCAATAACCCCCAACCACATCAATGTGAGAAGGAACTCAAGAATCAATAAGTCCCCCAACCACATCAATGTGAGAAGGAACTCAGAATCAATAAGTCCCCCATCCACAGCAATGTGAGAAGGAACTCAAGAATCAATAAGTCCCCAACCACATCAATGTGAGAAGGAACTCAAGAATCAATGAGACCCCCAACCACACCAATGTGAGAAGGAACTCCAGAATCAATAAGTCCCCCAACCACATCAATGTGAGAAGGAACTCAAGAATCAATAAGTCCCCCAACCACATCAATGTGAGAAGGAGCTCAAGAATCAATAAGACCCCAACCACATCAATATGAGAAGGAACTCAAGAATCAATAAGTCCCCCATCCACACCAATGTGAGAAAGAACTCAAATAATCAATAAGTCCCCCAACCACATCAATGTGAGAAGGAGCTCAAGAATCAATGAGACCTCCAACCACATCAATGTGAGAAGGAACTCAAGAATCAATAAGTCCCCCAACCACATCAATGTGAGAAGGAACTCAAGAATCAATGAGACCTCCAACCACATCAATGTGAGAAGGAACTCAAGAAATCAATAAGACCTCCAACCACATCAATATGAGAAGGAACTCAAGAATCAATAAGCCCCCCCAACCACATCAATGTGAGAAGGAGGAACTCAAGAATCAATAAGACCTCCAACCACATCAATGTGAGAAGGAACTCAAGAATCAATAAGTCCCCCATCCCACAGCAATATGAGAAGGAACTCAAGAATCAATAAGACCCCCAACCACATCAATGTGAGAAGGAACTCAAGAATAAATGAGACCCCCAACCACATCAATGTGAGAAGGAACTCAAGAATCAATGAGACCTCCAACCACATCAATGTGAGAAGGAACTCAAGAATCAATGAAGACCTCCAACCACATCAATGTGAGAAGGAACTCAAGAATCAATAAGACCCCCAACCACATCAATGTGAGAAGGAACTCAAGAATCAATAAGTCCCCCAACCACATCAATGTGAGAAGGAACTCAAGAATCAATGAGACCCCAACCACATCAATGTGAGAAGGAACTCAAGAATCAATAAGTCCCCCATCCACAGCAATATGAGAAGGAACTCAAGAATCAATAAGACCCCCAACCACATCAATGTGAGAAGGAACTCAAGAATAAATGAGACCCCCAACCACATCAATGTGAGAAGGAACTCAAGAATCAATGAGACCTCCAACCACATCAATGTGAGAAGGAACTCAAGAATCAATAAGACCCCCAACCACATCAATGTGAGAAGGAACTCCAGAATCAATGAGTCCCCCAACCACATGAATGTGAGAAGGAACTCAAGAATCAATGAGACCCCCAACCACATCAATGTGAGAAGGAACTCAAGAATCAATAAGTCCCCCAACCACATCAATGTGAGAAGGAACTCAAGAATCAATGAGACCTCCAACCACATCAATGTGAGAAGGAACTCAAGAATCAATGAGACCTCCAACCACATCAATGTGAGAAGGAACTCAAGAATCAATGAGACCCCCAACCACATCAATGTGAGAAGGAACTCAAGAATCAAAGACCTCCAACCACGTCAATGTGAGAAAGGAACTCAAGAATGAATAAGACCTCCAACCACGTCAATGTGAGAAGGAACTCAAGAATCAATAAGACCTCCAACCACATCAACGTGAGAAGGAACTCCAGAATCAATACACGTCTCATTCAATCACATATTCAAAAAAAATAGGTTGATTACGGCTCATTTCAGGACAGTGGGTGGGGCCATGCAAATCAGTTCTCTATGCCTCATCAGCCAGATGCACATCCAAAATCAGCGCAAACATTGCTGAAGGTACGTAACGAAAGGAAACCTATGAATAAATTCTGTTTCCAAAGCAAACCTTCGACCACAAAAGCCCCCGCTTTTAAAGTAGTCTCCTCACAACCGCGCTGGTGGCACTCACCATGAACCCTAAGCCACCCAAAATCTGAGAACACTCCGCTCACAGCTGCTTGTCGAGATCTGCGTGTGTGTGTGTGTCATTGTTTCATTCCTGATGACTCCTCCACTTCCCAGATGCGTGCGGTTTATTTATGCCTTGGGTCATTAATGTAAATTTGCAGCCCTCAGCGTCTGTGTCTATATAAAGCGCACGGAACGCTGATTGGAAACCACACAGGAAGTGTCAGGATCCGAGGATTAGGAACGACACGCTAGGTACTGCTACGTGTGTAAAGACCGGAGGTTGGAAATTCGTTTATATAGGACATTCACTGACTTTTTCGTTTTTTAAAGGAACAGGTTGAAGTAACCAGAACGTGATTTTTCAGACATACTTCAGGGGACGGTCAGAGACCAAACGTAGTGCAGGGGACGGTCGGAGACCGGACGTAGTGCAGGGACGGTCGGAGACCGGACGTAGTGCAGGGGGCACGGTCGGAGACCGGACGTAGTGCAGGGGACGGTCGGAGAACGGACGTACTTCAGGGATTGGACATATTACAGGGGACGGTCGGAGACCGGACGTAGTGCAGGGGACGGTCGGAGAACGGACGTACTGCGGGGGACGGTCAGAGACCGGACGTACTTCAGGGAGATTGGAACGGACGTACTACAGGGGACGGTCAGAGAACGGACGTACTGCAGGGGACCGTCAGAGAACGGACGTACTGCAGGGGACCGTCAGAGAACCGGACGTACTGCAGGGGACGGTCAGAGAACGGACGTACTTCAGGGATTGGACATACTACAGGGGACGGTCAGAGAACGGACATATTGCAGGGGGACGGTCAGAGAA